TGCAGTCGTCACTTTCAGCATCACAGGCCGGAAAGAAGACGATATTTTGAGATCTCTTTTTCCATCTCCACAAAAATCAGCTCCCCTCCAGCAGTAGCCGCCAGCGTCGGTACACTTTGGTTATCATGTTGTTCAAACAGGCCCATCGCACCCTGGTCGTTCTCCTCCAAAGCTGTTTAATGAAAGCTGACTTATGCAGGATTTTCCCTTCGTTCACATTTTAAAATTCCCTTTTATATTAGTTTGATCTTCTGTCGTGTTTGGAGCTGCAGCTTTGACTTCAGCCTCATGTTTTCCTGTTTTATCTCCTTCCCGCTCGAGGCTTGCTGCGCTGCTGAACACATCGGTGTGTTAAGTCCAAATTGCAAGGCTGACTTATTGCACTCTCTCTCTTATTTCCTAACCCAACACGCTTCAAACGTCTTGCACAGTTCCTGGGATCTTACAATGTTGCTATAGAAAGTCTTGGCAAGGTTTCAAATACTTGGACCCCTTAGAGAGCAACCAAGTGAGACATTAAGCCCCCAACTGCTAGGTGTGTACGGAGTTAGGGTCTGAGGACAGAATGCTCAACTAATGTCTGCGCAGAGCAAAGAAACGTGCATTTTCTCCAACGTCAGGCATTAAAATGAAACATTTCTTGTTACACCGCTTGTTTTCCTTGTCAGTAAATGCAGTGAGGCTGCAACCTGCACCGATGACTAACGCAAATACTATTGTGTGAATTCACACCACTGTTTTCCTGTTTTGAAGGTATTTTGCCGTCTTGACTACTTGTGCATGCTTTGCGCTAGTCGTGCATATATCGAAACATTCAACTCGTTCAGAAAATGGCTGCTATGATTTTTGCGTTTTGTAACATCCAGTTTTCCCAGCCTTTCATGAAAAGATAATTCAGAGTTTTGCCTGAGTAAATCCTGAAATTCCAGGAGATATGGGGTGGGCAGGGTCCAATGTGTAGTCTACGTGATACGCGGGTATACGGAGTATACCCACTAGAAGAGCTTAAGAATTTCAGTATACCCACTTAATAGTGCCCAATGATACATATCATTAGGCACATGTCATTGATATGTTAAACAGCAGTTAAACGCTTCTATAGCAATCTATATGTATGCAGCACTTGTTTATTACATTCGCTTATCCATCAAATTATTGTATAATCAATACTTCGTCACTTACTACTAAATACTTGAACGTTTTGCTTTGATACCATTTTATATACAAAGCCAACTGTTGTATAAAATTTGTTGAACATTTATTCAAATATAAGCATCAAAGAAATTTGGAAATGTTCAATAAAAATCAAAATAAATTAACGATTACATTGTACTAACCAGTGTACTTTGGTTTCTAAGCGCAGTATACGGACCGACCAAGGTAAAGTTAGTTTTACGTTGGATATTCACGCTCCGTGGCTTCAACGGTGTCCAACGTCCAATGTAAAACTAACTTTACCGTGGTATACCCACTACAAAAAAAGTACACTACACAACTGGCAGGGTCCCATTGAGAGATGACAGTAAGTATATTGTAGCCCACAGTACGTGCATACGGTAATTACTCCAAATAATCAAATATGTTCGATAACAGATTCTAAAAAGTCACCATAGCCACTCAGTAAGGATACATGTATAGTACACAGTAGAAGCAGAACATGAACTCTATTAAACTAGAATGTTGGCATTATTACATGTAGGCCTGTCGCGATAAACAATAAATCAATTAATCGCACGATAAATGAAAATTATCGACCTCATTTTCATTTAACGGCTTTATCGTTTCTTCGTGTCTCTCTTTCTACTGAAGACACTGGATGACAAAAAGCTCAACTCCGGTGCTCTTCACTGACCCCTCATTTTCTCTTTAAAATCCATTTTAATCGTCCAAAATCGTGTTTTTAAAAGCAGCTAAGCTGAGAAGCTAAGCTAACAGGCCAACCTCTGGAAAAAACTTGTCTTGTCGAAGCTCCAAATTTCATGGTTGAAACCAGTGCCTTTGTCTAAAAAGTTGTTTTTCTCTGCAAAAAGAAGCTGAGAACTTTTTTTACTGATTTTTTTTATTAAAAGCTTTGTGTGAAAAATGCTGTGCTGAAGAGCTCAAACCACACCCGAGCGTCCGCCAATTTGAGAACCGAAGAGAGACTGCCCATGTCAGGTCAAGGGGCCTCCCTTCCATTTTTCTTATAGACACACTGCTCGCTCCCTCACTATCCATCCTTTGGTTCAGTCTTATACTGCCATCCGGTGATCAAAAAAGGTACTACATGCAAAACAAATTAAACATTTCTTCTTAAATTTGACAATAATTACTAATTAATTAATTACTAATTATTGTCAAATTTCAAACAATATTATCGTTTATCGCAATAATTTCTGAGACAATTAATCGCCCAACAAAATTTGTTATTGTGACAGGCCTGTCTGTACCCGTACACAATAAAATCCCTGAAAAATCATCTTTTAATCATGAGAGCTCCGTCTGACAAAATGTGAGTCTTTTTCCAAGTTTAAACTGATTTCCAGAGTTTCTGGGAATCATCCATCCATCTTCCAACACTTATCTGTGTTTGGGTCACAGAGGCAACATGTCCAGGAGAGAAACCTGGACAACTCACTCTCCAGCGACACTTTCCAGCTCCTCCTTCCAAGTCCAGAGTGGATATTTAATCCCTGCAGTGAGCACTGGATGTGCCCCAGGCTCACATCCCAGTTCAAATAAAACCTTCAAAGGGAGGTGTCCAGCTAGGAGACGTCCTAATCGGACAGGTCGTCGTTGAAAATAAAAATTTGTTTTCAACCGACTACCCTGGTTAAATAAACGTCAAATAAATAAAATCTGATGCCAGAACCATCTCAACTGCCTCGTTGGCGCAAAGCAGCGGCTTTACACGGAGCTCCCCCGAGTACATGGAGTTCCTCACACCATCTCCAAGGCTGATCACTGCCACCCTACGAAGGAAGAGAAGCTCATTTTAACCACTTGTATCTCGTTCTTTCAGTCATGATCCAAACCTCATGACCCGAGGTGAGGGATGGAATGTAAACCAGTATATCAAAAGCTTTGGGTTTAACTCAACTTTCTTCACTACGACGGACTGGAGCAATGTCTTCATTACTGAGGATGAGGCTCTAATCCATCCATTCATCTCCTACTCCATTTTACAGTCACTAGTGAACAAGACACCCAGATACTTGAACTCCTCCACTCGAGGCCCCTAAAACTCGTCAGTCGACCCGTTTCTTGTTGAAAACATATTTTTAAATTTTTTTTTGCAAAGCATTTCCTTCGTAGAAATACATCCAAGTTCTCTTCAATTCCTTAAGAAAAATAGTTTATATTTAGGTTTGCTTCAGCGTAAGTTAGTCTTCTTGTGCTACTTTTTGTTTGTGGCCATCGCTCAACTTTCAGCTTCTAGCTAGCCTTTTGCTACATTTAGGTAACTTTTTCCTTCTTTTAACTTAAGTAACCCAACAATCAAAATATAAAATTAAAAAATAACCCAACATAGTATAGAAATTACTTTTTGGCTTTTAACTAATATTTTGCAACTTTTACTTAAGCTGATGTTCTGCTTCTTTTAGTTTTATTAACACCGTTTCTTTGTGGGGTGCTTCTGGTTTTAATGAATGGATCAACGCATAAAGTCCAAAGCATGAAGACTGAAGCTGTGGAAAGAAACCTGCACGCTTCATCGAGACTTGTTGTTGGAGATCTCACGACCTGCCCTCAGACCTGAGCAGCCGCTGCAGGAAGCCACAAGGGTCGTCGAGGACACTTTCTATTGTTCGTAACTTTCAGTGATCTCAAACAGGCGATTACATCAAGACCGTTTGTCTGACTGCTGAGGTCGAGGAAAACAGAAACCAAACAATCCAGACCTTTTTCTTGAACAAAGTTTAATAGGGAAAAACAAACAAACTGAGACATGACCAACTGTAAGTAGCAAAGAGTCTTCAACGGTTCAGCTTTGAGCGCAAGAAAATCCTTGAACCCAACCCTCGAAGGAGCAACTCAACAGCGCACTGACTCGGCTGGGAACATCTGTGGAGATAATTAACTGAACTCAGAAGTCCTCGAACAAAGAAGAAGAAAAAAAAAAACACTATAAACAAGACCAACTAAACAGCTCCTGGCTTCATCATCCTCGCTGCTCCCAGTTTTCAATTTTCAAAACGACGTGTTGTGTTTTTCCAGATGTCTTCTCCAGCTGCTCCCGTTGTTGTCGGGCGAACGCTTCGGGCTTTGGTTTATGTAACGACCGCAAAGCAACACATACAGTATGGCTGACTGCGCTGCTGCGAAGCCAACACTGTGCAGAGCTGAAACGATCCCTTCCCCTTCTCAAACGGGCACGCTGCTGGAAGCAAGCCTTTATTTGACGGCCGGGCGTTCAAGGACCGAGAGAAACGAGTTCGGTGGTCGAAGGTCAGGATCGTGCCACGATTTTAGAAACGTCCTTAATTCGTCTTTCAGAGAATAAATAAAAAAACATTAAAAACGATCATTTATAAATAAAACAGGGAATCCGATCACCTGTCTGAACAGAAAATGCACTAAAACTGCACTGAGTTTATAAAACGTGTTGCTCAAAGTCTGAGAATCTAGTTTTGATAGCAGATTAAAACTGACAGCAAGAAAACTGGTTTTGAGAAGTAAACGTCATTAACTGACAACAACCGTGTACGTTCAGCTTTTATTAAACTGTCTACGGAAAACAGAAAGCTAACCCTGACAGAGCTGCTCCGTCTGTGCTGCTCCACAGAACAAGAGCTCCACATGGTGGCAAGACGAGAGCTAAATCCCAAGACATTGTCAGAAAAAAAATACTAATAATTTTTTGAGTTTGAGAACACATTATTGTTTGTTTTTTTTTTTTTACCGTGACATACAAAATATTACTTTAAAACTACCTTAGAGGTCTTACTGAAATACGTACACACCTTGCATGCAGTTTTTTGTTTTTTAGCCCACGGACGGTTCTGTTGAATGTCTCTGACTCAGGGCGTTAACCGCTCGGTGCTGTATCTCAGAGCTCGATCTGTCAAAAGAAAAAAACAAACAGAGGATCTTAAAAAAAAAAACGTGTCAAAGAAGCAAAATGCCTAAATATTTTCTTCAGCATCTTGAAGACAAACGAATATAAACAATAAACCAGTGAGAGGTAAATGAATCAAGTGAACGACTGTGATTTAAATTATATTTTATTTGTACTTTAAGATTAAAAAAGCTGCTCCAAAATACTGGAAAGAATCCTTGTGTAGGCAGCTACGTACATACGAGAACATTTAATGAGTTTATTGGTCTAAAGTAATGCCACTTTATTTATTTTGAACTAAAAACACAAGAAAACGTTAAGATTAATTTTAAAAAGCAAACATGCTGGTTAGAAAAGTCAATGTGCAACAACACGCTGTTTTTCTGTAACTTTCCACATTCAGACACATTTGTATTTACTAATAACCTCAATTTTAAAGATATATTTTTAAAAAGATTATGATTATATAGTAGTCCCTCGATACTCCTTGGTTTGACTTTCGCGTACTCACTCTTTCACAGGTTTTCAGTATATAAGATTGCAAACATTGTTTCCTGGTGGCCTGGCCCGCTCAGTGATCGCCAAGGGGCCCCTTCCTTTCTCTTTCTGAGGCGGTCTGTCACAGCAGAGCACAGCCTCAGAAGGAGAAAGAAGGGGGCGGGGTCTATCTTTCCCCATCGCTGCTGTGGGAGGTCAGTGAGGTGGACACCAGAGTGAGCAGCATGGATTGTTTATTTTAAATAATCATAATAATCATCATAATAATATCTTAAGCTGTGCTCTTTTAGAGCATTTAGAACATTGTTAAGAACATTGCAAGAGTAGGGGAAGGGTTTATAAATCCTTAATTTATAAATATACTAAAATAAATATAACGTCCCTACTTTACAGATTTTCACTTATTGCGGGGGTGTCTGAAACGTAACCCCCGCGATAAGTGAGGGACTACTGTAATTATTATCAACGATTGTGATGTATTTATTTGGTAATGAAAATAGCATAAAACAGCAGTACAGTGACGTCTAATAATAAAAGGATAATAGAAACAAAGTATTTCTTCTGATCAAATTGCTCCCTGGCTCTTTCAACAGCTGCCCACTGCTCCACCTGGTGGTGGATGGGTTAAATGCAGAGAGACAATTTCACCATCGTATGGGAACATACAGTGATAACAACACAAACACTATTATTATGTTTTCCTCTTAATGTTTTTCAAAGCAGCGGTTTTAATAAGTTTAAAGTTTGTCTGGTGATCTGCAGACCAAAGCTACAAAAGGAAACTAGGAAACCAACTTACTGGTAACAAAAATAAGGTTGACCATAAATTTATTTCTCTAAATGTTGAAGATTTTTGTAACAAATAAACACATTTTAAGTGTATTTTAGTAGAAATTATACAATGAAAAAGCTTTAGGGCTGAATATAGCCTGGTGCCATGAAAGGTGGGCTATCGTGTGTTGGCGTTAATTTGTCTGTTAGTAAAATATCTCATGAACCGCTAGACTGATTTTATTGAAACGAGCTACAATTCGGTGTGGCAGCAGCTGCGGTTCAGTTTCAACACATCTTCTAAGCACCGACAGTTCACACAAGGTCTTTGCGAAGCTTTGGCGTCCTTGAAAGAATCTACTGACCTGGGCAGAGGATTCTTGTAAGCGATGCCTTCACTTCCAACAGTTCAGGGCTCTCCTCGGAGTCTTTGGTGGCGTGGAAGCTTGTAAAATGCAGCGCAGGCCACCAGTCTTTTCTCGCCTCCATATGTTTGCTGACAACGTTCTCCCAGTCGTCCCTGTTTTAAAACACAAGTAGACCCACAAAGACGGACTTAAACGTTTATTTAAATCAGCAGCGGTTGGTTGAAGATTTATTGAAAATATACGCGTTCAAACTTTCTATAAACTTGTTCGTACTGTAACTGCAGGTCCTGAATAACGGCCTGCAAACGCTTCCACACGTCCAGGCTGCTCCTCCAGCAGGCAAAGTCGAGCATGTCCAGAAGGATTCCTAAAGCTTTCTGAGCCCCACTTGCTTTCACTGAAAACACAACAAACAAACAACAACAAACATTAACACAGAAAACGTTTTATTAAGAGGCAACACCTTGAAATTCTTGAACCCCCCCAAAAAAAAAAAAAAGGGGTTTCCACAAAATAATTCTGAATATTTTTGTGTTTTTTTCCCCCGCATATAATTAATTATTCTTACAAATATATTTATATTTAGGATTAAATCTGTTTTTACCAGACTGGCGCAGGATGGAGCTGTACTCAAGCATCAACTCATGGCTTGGAACTAAAACCTGGATGTTCTAAAACAAATTAAAACAAATTAAAAAGAACAGTTTTTTTTTAATGCATTTTGGATAGAAAATTGTAAAGCGTGGCTGATAGCAGCGCCAACTAATATTAGAGCATATATTAATATAATAATCTATAAACCATCTAAGTGGTAGTTAACGTTCATTCGCGCTATAAATGCTCGATGCTTTTAACTTGGTGTTTTACCTTTAAGACTTTAATCAGTTTCTTCTTTGGAGCATTGTGCCTCTTGAAATACTGATATAAATACACGTGTGCATTGGGATTGGGTGGAAAACTTGTGTCATACGCGTAGTCATTCAGGACTTTAAGGGCCTCCTCGTGATCCCCATAAAACTCCAGCATCTGCCAAAAGTAAACTACAGTGAGAGGAGATGCAGGGACAGTTAACCAATGTAAAACAGAACTACATTTAAAAAAAAAAAAAAAGGCTAAAATGTAATTTACTGATACAACTTGAGACAAAAAGTGTGGATACGATTAAAAAAAACAGATTGATTAGACAAAAGAAGTTAGGATTTGTGTTAAAAATATATTACTGTGTCAGTGAAAATAAACACTTGAGATAATAACTGAACAAAAATGTTTTTTTAATACTAAAATTTAAGTAATGCAGGTGTCAAAGAAAATTGTTTTGTCTACTGTACGGGCTGGGTTTATAGGTGAGATGACAAGTGTTAAAAAAAACAGGAGGCATCATTTAGCTACTGAGGAACTGCTCAGAATATGCCCGACTCGGTTACAGGCGCAGCCTATTTCACTTTAGTTTTACACACACGCACACAAAAAATCTTTAACCTGGACAAAAACAAACAAAAAAGCAAGTAGTTGTGTAAAAAAAGAAGATAAATCAGGATGCAAGGTAAAACCTGCTATGCATTTAAGCACAAAATTCATAAAATCGGCTCTATATTAATTATTTATAGGACACTGAATGATAAGAGGGTGGTTGAAAGCCTTTTAAAGCATGAATAAAGCATTAATATCTGCCTGAGCGCTGAAAGGAACTTAAAAAAAAAAAGACTTTTGCTTGCCCCCGTTTTAAAAATTCATCGAGGCTTTAGAAAACGTGTTTACCTCAACGTAGCACAAAATGAAGGGATCCCAGACTCCTGGGTTTTTTAAAACCTCTTGAAGATTCACAGAAGCTTGTCGGAAGTAGTTGTTGGTGCTTTGGTTGTCTGAGTGGGAAGAGTCTGGAAACAGACATTTTTAGTCAACTCTGCACGTGCAGTTGCGTTTTCTATCCATTAGGGGGCAGCCTAACATCACACAAAGGCTTGCAATGTGTCGGTTAAACACACAAGTAAAGGTTGGATGCTTATGTTTCGGCTTACAGTTGTCATCGATTGACTTTTTGTCGCACCAGATCATATAATCCAACAAGCTCCTGTAGACTTGGATCAGTTTACTCGTCTGATGCTGAGCGGCCGAAACCTTCCCGTATCTCCAGCTTTCTGCGACAGACAGCTGCTTCTTCGCATCTTCAATCTGACCGTGGAGCATCAGGTGGAAGGAATGCTCCAGGCAAATCTTTAAAAAAAAAAATTAAAAAAAATAAAAAAACACCAAAAAGCAAAACGCATCATAGAAAAGTTGAAGCAAAATAAAAATGTGCAAACTGCATTGGGCTTGTGAGGCAACATACCACCAGGTAAAGTTTGATACCGGAGTGTTTCATCCGTTCATAGATGAGGTTGTAGTCGTTCATCGTTGAGTTGGGATGGTGGTGAAGGATCTCGGTGCTGATTCGCCAAACGAGCTGGAGTCAAAATCATAAGGAGTTCATAAAAAATAAATCACTGAAATGTTTTCTCCTATTTAGACTAAAATAAAACAGATGTGTGGATTTGGGCCTTTACAGTATGTATTCAGTTATTTTTCCTTTCTGTGCTGTATACAGTGTGTTCATATGCCTTTACAGCTCAAAGTTAAAAAAAAAACAACTTACCTCTCGATGTGCTGCGCCTTTCATTTTATTCTCAAGGATTTGAGGGTAGCATGCCATGTACTCTGCTGCTTCCTGCCATCTGTGATGCAGCATGGCTTCTCTGATTTGCTCCAAGCACATTCTGCACGACTCAAGAAAGCCAGTTTCGTTGCAGGACTCTAAAAGCATTTACGTCAACGCACATAAGATTTAGTAAAAACAATTCGCAGGTTGTACGGTTTCACTTTTTTTTTTTTATGTTGCAACTTGTAGAATATATCAAAGATTGTAAAACGTTGAAGACACAATCTGCATATACAGATAATATTTCCATCGAGCAAAAATACTAGTTATTATTTTTAAAAAGGCTTAAAAATGTTTGGTCGTGTAAAAAGAGAAACGTTTGAACGTTGCGCTCACTTCTCACCTTCAAACAAGCGTTTCACCAAAGGAAGCGTGGAGTTTTGCCCTTTCCTAGAGCTGCGGTCGGAGTCGTCGCTGTCCTCCTCCAGGTCCTTCTGAGACTCCAGGTGTTGGTCCAAGTCCTCCATATTCAGCACTTCGGTCAGATTTAGGTTTTTAGTAAGCAGAAATCCCAACTGCATCAAAACGTTTTCTTTTAAGATGAACTTCTTCTGTTGTGTCTGAAACGACAGATTGTAAATAAATAACTAAATAAGGCAAGCGCAACATCTGCAAACATGATAAACTAATCAAGGTTCGAGGTTCTTTATTGTCATTCGCATCACCACATCCACAAGGTGGAACAAAATTATGCACTCAAGGTCCCAGTTACACCCAAAAATTGCAACAACAAAAAAAGGCATAGGAGCGCAGTCACACGTGAGCAGAGTGAACAGGAGGGGGCTCAACACACAGCCCTGAGGGGAGCCAGTACTGAAGGTTATTACGGTGGAGGAGAAGATGTGGATCTTCACAGACTGCAGCCTGTTGGTTGAAAAATCCAGGACCCAGTTGCATACGGAGAGGCTTAGTCCTAATGTAATTTATCATCATCATCAGTTAAATCATTTCCATACTTTCAGCTGACAGCTGAGCAATAAAAAGGATTAGAGGTGGAGTTGGTTAGCATGTTACATTTGTTTGGTAAAGTATGTACACAGAAATAATGAAACTATGAGAAACTAGGCCATTTTTAATCTTTTGTAAATCAGCTTCTTGGTTCTGTTTGATTGTAACCTCACAGTGACATCTTTAGTCATTTCCTTCTTCCAGTTAAATACTATTCATTGTAAATTATGGGTAGTTACCTGTTTGGATGAATTTAGACCAGATTATAGTTGTGATTTCTAAACTTTTAATCTTTTTAACTTTTGACCCACAAACCATGACGTAGTCTTGTGATTCCCCAACCATCACTATTCAAGTACAAATGCTACTAATAATCCTAAAATATCGGGACATAATGATAAACTAAAACACAGCTTTAAAAAAAATCATTACTGTTTTAATCTTGTGTGGGGGAAGTCGGTCATAGCAATCATACTTAAACTTAATTTGATTTCTGGAGATGATCTGTGGACTTGGTGCTTCATGACCCACAGAAGAACCCACTGAGTAGTTGGACGCCTCTTATTGTACTCGACTCGTGGCCCAAAAATATGTCGCTTACCTGCGAGACAAAAGGATGACATTTCTAAAAAAACTAGTTGCACTCGGAGGGAAGATGCCAAGTGAGTTTTCACGGCAGCCACGGGGCTTGCATGGAATGGATACGTGGAAAGACACTGAACTACGGCCGTTTTTGTTGTACACTGGACCTGTGGTTTTAAAACCTGTGTTATCCCCTGTGAGATACAAACATTTCTTGTCCCTGACAGTAGCCACGTCAATAATGCTGGAGTCAGATGAGAGAATTGGAAAGGCCTAACTCCAATATGCTGAAGAACTAATCCAACATTTTGTCGTGCCCTGTATGGTAAAACCTTTCCTGTATACAATGTACATGGACTGTCCCATCTCCATGAAGATGTCGGGCACTTCAACTGTTCCCTGAATGATATTTCCTGTTTTCCATTTTGAAAACTACCTGCAACAAATGTGGGCGTAGTCCCCTTGAGCAAGTCACCAGGCGTTTGGCAGGAATCCAACACTCAGAAGTGAATGAGGGCAAAATGCACCCAAAAGAGTTTCTTTCTTTTAAAGAGAGAGACAGTTGTTTTCTCTTGAGAGATGACAAATTTGCTTTTGTCAGACAGAAAAAGAAAAATGCTGATGGCACCTTTGTTTGTGATATCCTGCACCAGCATCACACTTCACCTTTGTTTCAGCAGCCGTGTAGCTCTGGACTTTTGAATATAGTGTGTATGGGAAGTGGTCAGGTCAGAATGAAAAAACAACTATTGCAGGAAGGGGACCTTTTCCGCAAGGTGGCCTGCCTTCCACAAGAAACTGGTGGTTTTGTCCTCGTACCCCTTCGCCATCGTCTGGAACATAAATAAAGTTGGATATTCTTCTTCTTTTGGTTCGATCTCAGCAGGGAGTCATCACAACCAATCACCTTTTCCCATCTGTTTGTTTTCTGCAACTTTCTCGGTGGGTTATAAAGTTGGGTATAAATAAAGTTTATCTTTTAAAATAAACTTTATTTATAACTTATTTATAGTGGGTTATAAAATTATTAAATAATTGCCTTATCAGGCATTTTGGGTTTTCATGAGCTGTATGCCATAATCATCAGCATTAAAACAATCAAAGAGCTGAAATATTTCAGTTGGTGTGCAATGAATCTGAAATAGATGAAAGTTTCATTTTTATCGTTACATTATGGAAAATAATGACCTTTATCACAATATGCTATTTTTTTGAGAAGGACCTGTACATGTATGAAAATGTGACTTTGAAAATAACTTTTTTCTCTAAACCAAAATATTGCTGTTAATTTTTGTAACTTTATGAAAAGGTTTGGTATCTCTAATGCATTTTGCAGCAAATTTGTAATTGATGTGCTCAAACTTGGCAGCACGACGGCTCAGTGGTTCACACTGTTGTCTCACAGCAAGAAGGTCCTGGGTTCAATCCCCGGTTGGACCTGGGCTCTTACTGCGTGGAGTTTGCATGTTCTTCTGGTGCTTGCGTGGGTTTTCTCCGGGTACTCCGGTTTCCTCCCACAGATCAAAAACATGCATGTTGGGCTGGCTTCAGGCCTCCCTTGAAAATGATCTGTGATCTCGATGAGATCTGCCTGGTTAAATAAACGTTAATAAATGATAAATAAGTGTGTGTTAGTAAAGCAAGTGGACATTGTACAGAGACAAGTGTGAAGTGATTGGCAAAAAAATTCAAAGCCAACTATAAATATTTGCAGGGATGTTTTTTTATTTTTATTAATCCAGTATTAGGGGAGGCCCCAGCAAGACATTGTGCATTTTCCAGATTGCCTTTGCATATTACTAATTACTCGTTTGTTTTTTGTGTTTTTGTCTTTTTTTTTTTTTTTTTTTGCAAATGCAGATGGAATCATGAATGGGGATGCTGCAGCAACAGAAGGTTTTATAAGGACTCATGCTGCAGAGCATTTTAAAACATGCGCCACAAAGAAGTGAGATGCAAATACAGGTGCCGGTCATAAAATTATATCATGAAAAAGTTGATTTATTTCAGTAATTGCGTTCAAAAAGTGACATTTCTATATTCTATTCATTCATTGCACACAGACATATTTCAAACGTTTGTTTCTTTTAATGTTGATTATAACTGACAACTAATGAGAACCCCAAATTTAGTATGTCAGAAAATTTGACTATTACTTGAGACCAATTTAAAAAAGGAAAAAAGGATTTTTATAGATGTTGGCCAACTGAAAAGTGTGAACATGGTACTATGGTCCTCGCAAAAGGAGCCCCAACCAAGTAATGAATGATATACATACTCGTACATTTCATTTTTCATATTTTTCAGTTGGGCAACATCTATAAAAAAAAAAATCCTTTATTTATTTATTTTTTTTTTTTATTTAAATTGATCTCAAGTAATCTAATTTTCTGAGATACTAAATTTAGGGTATTCAGTAGTTGTCAGTTATAATCATCAACTTTGAAATATTTGAAATATATCAGTCTGTGTGTAATGACTGAGTACAAGTTTCACTTTTTGAATGGAATTACTGAAATAAATCAACTTTATTCAAAATGTTATGAACAGCACACTTTAAAAAAAATTGCGTACGGTAATTGTGGTGAGGGGACTGTAATTTTATATAGCTTTTATTTCTCGTGTTGCTAGTTCAGCTATTCGAAAATGAAGGCATGCTATTTTTTTTTTTTTATCTTAAGTACAGACCAAAGCTATGTGAGCTGTGTCTTTTTATAGATTTGTTTGTGTACATTGTGTTTTGCCACCAGTTGATAAGCACCCTGTTAATTCTAAAGTTTTTTTTTTTTTAAAGGTACTGAAGGTGGACTTTTTTTTTTTTTTTAGTTTTTGCCACCAGTGTTACGCTACTGTTCTGTTAGTCCTTTAAATTGTGTTAAATAAAGAAGATAAATGAAAAATTTAAGGAGTGATTTGTAAACTCTAATCCAACTGTTTCTAGGACCATGTTTCCTGCTGCACAATGGGTGGTCAAATGAACCATTTCCCTACTTCAGTCGCAGTTTTAAAGTACTTTTCATATGCATAGCATAGAAGCAGCAGTTTTTAAGTGACTAAAATAAGTTAAATATAATAAGAGCCTATTTAAAATAATAAATATAGTTAGTTGACGTGGAAAAGACGTCTTTGTTGCCATGTCCGATAGACGTCGAAATTAGACGT